CGAAAAGAGGTTACGTACAAAATCTTATTATCGGATAACGTGGCGCATATATTACCCCCGCCCTGAATTTACATCGCTTTCAAGAACGATACACGAATTCTTTGGTAGCTTGAATAAAGTAGAATTCATTCGACGATCCTTTAACATTAAAGGCTTTTTTATTATTCGTTCTAAATTCATCATTCGATCAGGCGCGACAATGAAAATCGAGATGAAGATAAAACTAGAGACAGCATCGTTACTGTAAAGTAGACTTGCAACGAATATTCGGCCACTATTCGGTATTCGGCCTATTCGGCTGCTTTTATAATATTCGGCCGAATACCGAATCATCATCATCATCATCATCAGCCTATTAATGTCCCCACTGCTGGGGCACAGGCTTCCCTATGGACGGAATAGGGAGATTGGGCCATGACTCATCACGCGGGCCCAGTGCGGGTTGGTGGGTGCTAACGACTGCAGATGCAGCCGGGACCAACGGCTTTACGTGCCTTCCGAAGCACGGAGGAGCTCGAGATAGTAAATTTTCGGTCACCCATCCAATCACCGACCACTGCGAAAGTTGCTTAAATTCAACGATCGCTGCGGAACGCGCTAACCACTTGCGCCATCGAGCTCCTCGAATACCGAATATCTACATATTATTCGGCCGAATACCGAATACTTGAATAATATATTTTGTCATAGAGAAATAATTGGTAAAATGAAAATTTTAAATGTATTGATTACGTATAGGTATATTCATATTTTTATTTCTGTTATATAATCATTTAAGTAGTCATTGGGTCACAACACAGGTAGATAATTTAAACATTTTCTGTATTAAACAAGTTAACAGTTTTTAATTCATTCAGACATGTGATGAATGGTTACATAATAGCAATAATTTAAAGTTTACGCGCCGTTTTTGGCCATATCTAAAAAGTTGGTTTTGTCATTTAGCCGCATTTTAGCTTGAGGACTTTAGATTAGAACAAAACAAAGGAGCGCGAAACAATCACGTCTGTACATGTTTTTGGCGCTAAAATCCAGCCGAATACTTTTGCCTAATATTCGCCTATTTGGTCAGGGGCCTCGCCAAATATTCGGTATTCGGTATACTGCCGAATATACTATTCGTTGCAAGTCTACCGTAAAGATATTTTGTAAGTGTTTAAAACAAAAGATTTGACTCGTGCAGTTGCTATTACATCGATGTTGTAGAGTTTCTTTCAACAGTTCATCTCCACTATCCTGTTATAAAATACTAGCAAACCAGTGAACCAAATGTTCACCAAAACCTGATTTAAAAAAAAATGTATTTAATTAATTGAGAACTTCGGAGATTTTGTGTGGTTTCGTTTGAAATTCGTGATTTCTCGAAAACCGGAAGTGCTACGGTTACTCAAATCCGGTTTGTAGTCTTATCAGACTATTCTTAACTTATGACTTAAACATTCTCTTTATCTATCTCTTACGGTTTGGCCGCTGAAACAGCACCACAGACAGACGGACGGACGGACTTGTCTAATAGATAAGAGATTTTATTTATTTATTTTCATAATGACTGAATGGAAGAATATATTCTTTACTGCACTGAGGCAGTTTTTTCGGAAATACAAAAAAAACTCAGGAAGGTAAACACAAAATATGGCGGTCTTATTGTTAAGGTAGCCAGGCAGCCTTTGGCTAAACGAATCTATACAAAAGAAGAAGAAAAAGCTGGGGGGTCGTGCATTTTAATTTTGAAAAGTTAGTGTAATATATATATTTATAATTTTTATTTTTTAAGCATATAACTGCTTGATGTTTACATTTAAAGAAAATATAACAAGAAAAAAAACACAAAATTCCATTGTGGGTTACCTACAACGCGAAGAAATGGCGCTGCCTTGCAGCTTAGGAATGGCTAGAGGAATTCCGACGCGGCCGTCAGGGCCGCGGTAGCATAATTGGTTAGGCATTCGCCCGTCTGCTGCCTGGTCCGCGTGGATTTTTTCTAGTTATATTTTCTTTATATATATATTTTTTTAATTTAATACAGTTGTTTTATACTTCGAAAAATTTCAATAAAAATATTATTTATTACTAGTGGCCCGCCCTCGCTTCGCTTCGGTATTTTATCCCCTTGGGGGTAGAATTGATCAAAATCCTTTCTTAGCGGATGCTTACGTCATAACATCGACCTGCATGCCAAATTTCAGCCCGATCCGTCCAGTGGTTTGGGCTGTGCGTTGATAGATCACTATGTCAGTCAGTCACCTTTGAGTTTTATATATATAGATTTAGTGACCTGACCAGTTTAAATGCAAGAAAAGATAATGTTCATCAAATTATAGAGTTTTAATGAATCTCTCTCAATCCAAAAAGCTGTTTTGTAGAGCTCGTTAAATTTTAATGTTGCCGTTTGACATCAAGACGCCTTAGAAAATATAAGTTTGTTGCTTTACTGCGTTGTTAGGAAGAATTTGAAATTAAGTTGAAGAAAAGTTTGCCGTGGAATTTGCTTAGTAAAATATTTTCTAAAACCTTGATCTTTTTAAAGAGTTTTTCGTTTTTTGTCATCGTATTAGACTTATTTGCTTACACCTTTTTCCAACTCATATTTAATACTCATATCTCTTATCTATTAGACAAGTCCGTCCGTCCGTCTGTCTGTGGTGCTGTTTCAGCGGCCAAACCGTAAGAGATAGATAAAGAGAATGTTTAAGTTATAAGTTAAGAATAGTCTGATAAGACTACAAACCGGATTTGAGTAACGCAGCACTTCCGGTTTTCGAGAAATCACGAATTTCAAACGAAACCACACAAAATCTCCGAAGTTCTCAATTAATTAAATACATTTTTTTTTAAATCAGGTTTTGGTGAACATTTGGTTCACTGGTTTGCTAGTATTTTATAACAAGATAGTGGAGATGGACTGTTGAAAGAAACTCCACAACATTAATGTAATAGCAACTACACGAGTCAAATTTTTGAAGTTATACTTCTTTAGGCGCGTTATGAAAAAATGATGAGAGTGAAATTTTAAGATGCGCGCGCATCACTGTAACACAAAATTTTAACAGCATGAAGTTGGTCGCTTTAGCGACCAACTTCATGCGTTACTTTTGTGTTTACCGCACATTAAGAAAATCTACCAACAAAATAAAAATAGAATCTCTATTTAGTGGGTGCTAACGACTGCATTGTGAAGGCCTATCAAAAGTATTTATTAATCTGGAACAACGGAACCAAAGCGCGATTCAGGAGACTACAGCGCCATCTCTTGACCATTGGTGTAGTAGAACCAAAAACCACATCTTTATTTTTTGTAATAAAGTAACAGTTATAGGTATTCATATTTATAATATTTATCCACATGTTTCTAGTTTGTATATTCGGAATACGTGTTTGAGTTTCATACGAGTGCAAATCACATATGTTCTAATAAATTATATTCAGTAGCGATTTTAATTGAATATTTTATAGGTTTTGGTGAACATTTGGTTCACTGGTTTGCTAGTAATGTAATAATAAGGTATGGAAATATATCACTCGTATTTGTATTTGATTTTAGCAGATCAGGTTACCTAACTACAATATTTGCAACGAATTCCAATTTACAAACATTTTGACGACCTCCGTGGCCGAGTGGTATGTACGCCAGGTTTCAAGGTGTCTCCTACGCGAGAGGTCCCGGGTTCGAATCCCAGTGGGGGCAGATGTTTGTGTGATGGAATTTGGGCATTGGTACTCCAGTCATATGGATGTTTAATATGTATTTCTATAGAAATATACTTATATAAGTATCAGTATATGTATTCTATCCGTTACCCTAGTATCCCATAACACAAGCTTGCAGTGCTTACTTTGGGGTAAGGCTATAATTGGTGTGAGTGTTGGAAATATTTATCATTATTTATTTTTATTATTATAATAATATTATTGTCTAAATAGTAATTTTAATTAAGGTAATTATTTTTATAAAAAAAAATATTATGTATTAGGAATTAGCGATTTGCAATGCAAGTCATATTCATCATCAGCCTCTTAATGTCCCCACTGCTGGGGCACAGGCCTTCCCTATGGAGGGAGTAGGGAGATTGGGCCATGACCCACCACGCGGGCCCAGTGTGGATTGGCGGGTGCTAACGACTGCAGATGCAACCGGGACCAACGGCTTAACGTCACTTCCGAAGCACGGAGGAACTCGAGATAGAAATTTTTGGTCACCCATCCAATGACCGACCACTGCGAAAGTTGCTTAACTACAACGATCGCAGCCGAACGCGCTAACCACTTGCGCCATCGAGTTCCTCATATTATTCAATGTATATTTATGGGAATATTCCCATAATTTTCTGCACTTACACCAATTAGCCTAGCCCCAAAGTAAGCACTGTAAGGCTTCTGTTATGGGATGCTAGGGTAACGGATAGAATACACATACAGTACATATATAAGTATATTTATATAGAAATACATATGAAACATCCATGACTGCAGTACAAATGCTCGTATTCATCACACAAACATCTGCCTCCACCGGGACTCGAACCCGGGACCTCTCGAGTCGGCGACACCATGAAACCCGGCATACAAACCACTCGATCACGGAGGTCGTCGAGTGGTTTGTATGCCGTTGGGGGTAGTCCCAGCCAATGTTCAATATTCAATACTTTACCGGGTAATATATAGGTATGAATATTGCAGAAAAATATGAAAGGTTGGGGTAGTCCCAGCCAATATTCAATAGATAGATAGATAGATAAATCATTTATTCCCATCAGTACAGCACACAAATTCAAGTAAAAAAATAGAACAATTAATTACTAGGTATGTAACTGTGTGCCACAACGACAGAAAAAGGCAAAAACTCAGCGATACCTTTGCTCTAAGAGCAAAGCACTGGTTTTCAGTTCTGCCTAGAAAATATTCAATACTTTACCGGATAATATATAGGTATGAATATTGCAGAAAAATATGAAAGGTTGGGGGTATTCCCAGCCTATGTTCAATATTCAGTTCATTATCAGGGTTCTCGATGGCTGATCGGACATGGCTGCCCGTGGGGGAGGGGTCCGAGCACCTGAACGTGGCCCACCAGCGGTCGGCGGTGCGGTCGCACTACCAGGTGTACCGCGCGCTCACCAACCTGCGCGTGCGCGCCGCCTTCAAGTACGGCCGCCTGGAGTCACTCGCGCTCAACAACGATGTATTCGCCTTCAAGCGGTACGCGGTATTCTTATATTTTATCATGTTATTTCATCATCATCATCAGCCTATTAATGTCCCCACCGCTGGGGCACAGACCTTCCCTATGGATGGAGCTAACACAAGCCTACAGTGCTTACTTTAATGTAAGGCTATAATTGGTGTGAGTGTTGGAAATATTTATCATTATTTATTTTTATTATTATAATAATATTATTGTCTAGGTGGTGGTATACCTTACGTGGCTGGTGATGGCTGTAACGCTATACAATCTGACTGGACTCTATTTACATCTAAATAAGTTGGGGGTAATTTTCTAATCCTTGTTTAAATAAGCTACATACCGTCAGCCAAACAGATGTAACCCACAGATAATATTATAATACTTGTACCAAGCCTATAAAGGATAGAAAATAAAACACAGCGTTCACCTTGAGTAACGACAGAAAAAAGCGTTGTCTTTCATTACCACCAAAATAAATTTCAAAAATATTCAAAAACACCATCATTATAAAAGTTAATTTAGTTCTCCTCTAGCTCAACAGATGGCGTTAGGAGTAGACAACACTTTAATTAGATACATTGTTTTTAAGATTTTTAGAAGATTTTAACAAATATTTATTTATATTTTCTTTTCCTAACCTATTAGTAATTAAAGCACAGACTCAGAAATGCGTCGCCTACAAAGCCCAACTCTCTTTTCCTGAAATAGGGCATTTGACAAATAGATATTGTATTTAGAATCAATAAGTTTTTACTATTTTTACAGATTTATTTTTCATAATTTTACTAAATTCCCACGAAAAATATAATAGTTTTCTTATCTGTTGTTACGTGACCTAAAACGTTTGCGATTGGTGGAGCCTAAAATGACGTCATACGCTAGTAAACTTCCAGATAAAGTGACATTACATTGTATCGTTTGACGTTTCAAAGACAGTCCTGTGACGTCACACACCAGTGAGACGCCATTTTGTCCAGAGAAACGTTTGGCGGCTACTTGAAAATGGAGTTTTTGATTTAGTTTTACTTTAACCGAAATACACAACATAATGATGAATATCCACTTTTAATGGACGCCATAAATATTAGTAAAATGCGTGAGATCGTTTTCTAAAACTTGTTAAATACACTTGTTATTGTAACATTTAGTAATGATGTTTTTTTAGATGGCACAATGATGACACGTACGTCATCGTAATGAACTTCGGAAGAACGTACCAAGTTGTCAACCTTACATCTTTTGATTTGGTGTTTGGACAGCTTGAGGTGGAAGTCAGCAGCGTATTGTCTTCTAGAACTTACAAGTAAGAATCAAAAAGTTTTGTAGATACATGTCATCATCATCATCATCATCAGCAGCATATTAATGTCCCCACTGCTGAGGCACAGGCCTTCCCTATGGATGGAATAGAGAGATTGGGTCATGACCCACTACGCGGGCCCAGTACGGATTGGCGGTTGCTAACAACTGCAGATGCAGCGAGGAGCAACAGCTTAACGTGCCTTCCGAAGCACGGAGAAAGTCGAGATAGAAGATTTTTGGTCACCCATCTAATGACCGACCACTGCGAAAGTTGCTTAACTTCAACGATCGCAGCCGAACGCGCGTCGAGAGATACGTTAACAATATATTTTAATTCTACTTATGGTAGGTAACTTGTGTGTGTGTCTTACTAAGCATTTTTTTTCATATTAACTTAATTTGTTTTAGATTAGTAGGTAAATATATATACATAAAAGTGAGTCTGTGTATGTGTGTGTTCTATAAAAGATAATGTGATGTGAAAATAGATTCAGTTGCTGTTTGCTTTCATTGCGCATGGTGTCATGGTGTCGCCGACTTGAGAGGTCTCGGGTTCGAATCCCGTTGGGAGCAGATGTTTGTTATTAATTTATTTATTTTATTTTGTTATTTATTAATACGAGCATTTATACTCCGGTCGTGGATGTTAAATATATATGTAATATACTTATATTTTTAAGTATGTATTCTATCCTTTACCCTAGTATTCCATAAGGCAAGCCTTACAGTGCTTACTTTGGGGTTAGGCTAATTGGTGTGAGTGTTGAATATATTTATTTATTTATTATTGCTGTGTTATTTAGAAACCGAAAGAGCTTGTGTGTTTGTTCGATGTTATTTTCTATAATCATTTTCTGAGAGAGAATTTAAGCTATAGGTCATCCTATATGAGAGTCGAACAAGACAGTGGGCACCTATATATCCCATACTATGAACAAACATTTATTTTATCAATAAATTTTACTTATTTTTGTTTGAATTGTCCGTTTGAATCATTTTGATGGTATATTTCCGGGACGACTTCTATCTATGCGATATTATTCACTACATACGAGATAACTGTGGAATGTATTGTCACCAACATCATTTCCATACCAACATGACCCGAAAGCGTTCATAAAAAGAGCTCAAAGAGTTGAAAGCCAACATCGCATTTGTGATACTCTAATGTTAAACGACTGAATCGCAATGAACCGTAAACGAACCGCAACTTTTTATGACATTTCCTATCGCGCTAAAGTTCCGACAGCTAGTTGAGATGTAAATGTATCACGATTGGACTTAGATTAAAACAAAAAGGGAAGATACGGCATTCGCGGCACAAAAGTGAGCCGCTTAAATTGTGGTCCACGACCATAATTCGCTTTAGTCACAATTTGACATTCAAACACGCTGCATGTACACTCAATATAATAATATTACGTATATTCTGTGTTATGATGTGAAGATAAAACAATGCTTTCGATGTTTTTATAAAGAACAAAAATAGTTCAGAATCAAATGCCCCGGCAACACTTCATTCGTAAAACTGTAAAAAGTTTTTTTCTCAAAAATCACGGTTTGTCGTGAATATTATTTACGTAATCGCCATTTCGCTGAGGAGCTCGATGGTGCAAGTGGTTAGCGCGTTCGGATGCGATCGTTGAAGTTAACTTTCGCAGTGGTCGGTCATTGGATGGGTGACCAAAAATTTACTATCGCGAGCTCCTCCGTGCATCGGAAGGCACGTTAAGCCGTTTGTCCCGGCTGCATCTGCAGTCGTTAGCACCCACCAATCCGCACTGGGCCCGCGTGGTGGGTCATGGCCCAATCTCCCTATTCCATCCATAGGGAAGGCCTGTGCCCTAGCAGTGGGGACATTAATAGACTGATGATGATGATGATGATGAATCGCCATTTTGTAAGCAAGAAAAGGACAACAATACGCTGCGTTGAAGCGTATAGTTCTGTCTCGCTCGCTCGATTGATGTTTATATACAGACGTATGTGTGTGAGTTGCTTATGTAGTTGAGTCGGATCATATTTTATTTGATGCTAGTATGAGCGTACCATATCTACCCTTTTTGTTTTAATCTAAGCGATTGGACCGTACTCCAGCAAAATTCAGTCAAAATTATAAAGTAGATTTCAGTTGACAGGTGAAAATCAGCGCAATATGGATGTATAAAGTTGAGCTGGATGGGAATTGGATTAAAATTAAACCATGATTGAACTATCAAAATAATAAAAAGCGCGATTGGGGCTGCCGGTGATGGTGAGCCGTCAGCTCGTATACTCCCTACAGCATTTTTTTTTTTTAACTTGACAACTCTGTATACAGAGTGTTACAAAAATACAAATAAAGCTTGAAGGGCGTTGAAGTACATCATATAAGGAGTCTTCTCTAATATACTTAAAATATTTGCATGAAATTTTAACTTTTTATAAAATTGGATATTTTTAATGATCCTCGAACTAGTGATGTGTCTAAAAATAATCGATATTTTTATTAATCATTAAAAATAACAGTTCTTTTAAAAAGTTAAAACTTCATGCAAATATTTTAAGAAAATTAGAGAAGACTCCTTATATGATGAACTCCAACGCCCTTCAAGCTTTATTTGAATTTTTGTAACACCCTGTATAACAATACAGGGAGAAAAAAACAGCCCTTGCTGAGTTTCTTGCCGGTTCTTCTCAGTACAAGGTCTCCCGCCGTAGTTTTACGAAGCGATGGCGTAGCTTCTTGACCTTCACAAGTGCTTGTAACAGCCTAGACTAGAATAAATGACATTTCATTTCATTTCATTTCAAAAAAATAAACTATTATCCGTTTTCTTTCACAGCGACAACATTCCAGCTGGCTCGGTGGACCTCGCGGCTAATGAAGCTTTGGTGCTCCGCATGCAAGCTTAAGATTATAATTAAATTATTTTGGCAATTCAATGTTAGGGGCCATTCAAGTATTACCTAAGCACTATAGGGGGGCAAATCCCACCAACCACCCATGGCCTGACGAACCTTCTTGGTTATGCAGGCCGAAGCAACGGGAGATACGCGCGGAATGGCCTCCACCGCGCATACTTTCTTGACTCCCTACAAATTATTCTTTATCTATCTCCTTGTCCCTATGGTCCCTCTCCCCTTTCTGGGGCGGACGAACACGAAACGCCTTCGTCGCCATCCCAGCCGTCCCGTGCCCACTCTCAAGTGGTACCGCTGGCTCCAAATTGAATGGTCCTCTTCTTTCTTCGCCTCGGGTCTTCTTTCTTCACCTCTCGAGTCCACTCCGAATCCTGTGCCATCTACGCGCGAAATCCTGCAGCCACCTGAAGTTCGCCTCCGATCCTACAAGGTCACGGTAGTAGACCGGCCCGACCTCGAGCACCTTCACACTGTCCAGAAGTTCCCTACGCGCCTCCCCGTAGAGCTTACACTCCCACAGAGCGTGGTATACTGTAGGGGGGCAGGGGGGTCTATGCTTTGCTTATTTTTGATGACATGGGGCCCTGGGGGGTCGAGATATTGATTACGTCAGCATCATAGATTCGGGTGCCATGGACTGAAGACTGTTAATTGGAATTAATATGTATACCAAAAATTCGAAAGAACTTTGTTTTGTTCGTAATAGCACTTAATAAGATTATAATATTTGTACCTTACTCTATGTTGAAAACTGTGTCAATAAAGTTTGTTTAAATTAAAAATTAAAGTCCTATATCCTAAGCCTATTTAAGTTCTGCTGCTCATGAAACTCATAAAAGCTCATGAATCAATTAAAGGATAAATGCATATAGGTACCATTTATTACGTAATCAGGGGGGGGGGGGGTAAGAGCTTTGCTTACTTTTGTTGACAAGGGGGAGGGGGTAAATAATTGTAATAAATCTGCTTACGTAATACTTGAATGGCCCCTTACAACGTACATGGTCTCTGTCAATTAACTTTTAAACTTTACTTTTGGTATTGAAGACCAAGGCCAAAAGTTTGCACCAAAGTTTTTAAAAAAAGTATAATCTCATTTAGAATGAAACAGTTTATAAGGATGAAGTGATGTGCTGAACTGGATTAAGCTTAAATTGGAATTAAGGATTTTGGTGCAATTGGCTCTAGATGTGTTATAATAAACGAAATTTTTACTTGACAAGATTTCTTGTAAAAAAAAAAGTATAATTGGCAATTTAGCACAGTAACTGCCGCACCTTGACGTAGTATCTTTATTTTTTAAAATGAATTGCAGTTGACGCCGACACCTATAATTATAGAAAAACCCACAAGACAGCATTTCACTTTGATGTACATCAATTTTTATTCACTTGAATTCTCATAAAATTGCTGATAGTGAAAAATAGACAAAAAAACTATAAAACTAGTTTTGTCTAATGAGTGATGGGCGTGAAAACCTAAAAAACAAATAAAAAAATAGTATTAACTTATTACTCACTAACATTGTTATTGTAATGATACTCGTATAACAAACGAGTACCTATAATTTGAATGAAATAAAACGGTTTAAAATAAAGAATATGTTTTATCGAATTGCTACTAACATTTCATAAACATTTATTTATATAGATAAGTATGGAAGCGAAAAAGTATATCTGTACATGGTTATCTGAAGAGTTTTGTTATGCTCAGATAACTGTGTCATAACTTTGTACCGTTTTCATAAGATTGACACGATTTTTCATCTAATTTAATAACACAGTAACAATAATGTTCATATCACCTACCCCATGAGAATCTGGAAACCTAACTCACCCACAGAACTACAACTCCAACAAAAGTTTATATTTCCAAACGGGAGATTCTATATGAGAGACGGAAATTTCCGAATAACATAACATCGAGATAGGCATATAGATGATTCATACAGATCAATCTACGTCAACAATCAAACCAGTTTCGACAATATTAAACCACGTTTCATCATTCACTAAAATGATTCCATTGGTTCAACAAAATAGAAATAACAAATACGTGTATTTGATCGAACCCTGAAAGCGTATTCTTTATTGTTTATTCGGTCAGACTAACACAATACTACTAAACAAAGAATAACACAAATACAATCGGATGATATTATATTTTTATTTGATTAAGCATAGATGGCTAGTCTTTTATAAGATTCGTCGTAACAGCTTTCAGATTTCGCACCGGACATTATCCATGCAGAAAACATGGATTCCTAATGAAATAAGATCTCCTAATTGTGAAACTTGAAACTTTTGGTTCTATCAATGACGTTCAGCACATGCTCTAGAGTGTACTAAGTATACCAAAAAGACAATATCATTATTGCAAAACATATAATAAAAGAGCAGACCCGCAGTCAGCTACGGTCAAAAGTCTCATCCCTAAATATTTAATAATTTTGTAATTTATAATAGTTAGGATTTGATAGGACTGGAATATTCTTAATATAGGGTAAAAGCCTATAGATAAATAAAATTGAAAAAATGTCGACGCTTATAATTAATTATTATGAGTAAAGATTTCATTATACTATGATAAAGAGAAGGTACGCTCTAATCAGAACGCAGGCAGGCCCTGGATTTACATTAACATATTTTATTGATTACAAAACAGGACTTTCAATGATGTTATCTATACATATAATAAAATGGTCGGAAAGTCATAACTGTAAATTGCATATTGAAGTTATACTTCTTTAGGCGCGTTGTGAAAAATTGATGAGAGTGAAATTTTAAGATGCGCGCGCATCATGTAACACTAAATTTTAACACCATGAAGTTGGTCGCTTTAGCGACCAACTTCATGTACCGCGCTGCCATTACCGCGTCGCCCGCCGCACCGTACACATGCGCGGCCACTCGCGGTCCTAGCGCGGGAAACACGTGCAACAAACATCGGGAAAAGTTACGAGTTTTGAATTTAGAACAGAGACTGTTTTCATATCTATATATATAAAAATGAAACCCGTTTTCCGTTGTCACGACATAACATGAAAACGGCTTGACCGATTTGGCTGTTTTTTTTTGTAGTTTTCTAATACTCTGTACAAGGTTCTTACGGAAAAAAATATAAAGAAAATCCCAAGGGGATAAAATAAGGAATGAAAGTTTGTATGAAACTTTATCAATTTTAAACCGATCGGGCTGAGACTTTGCATGCAGGTATAAGAAGAATCATAGATGAATGTCATTGTGTATAATACAAGCCTGAGAACAAAAACTGTAGTCTACACTTCAGCTCTACACCGAAGCGAAGCGAGGGCGGGCCGCTAGTTTATAATATTTATCCACATGTTTCTAGTTTGTATATTCGGAATACGTGTTTGAGTTTCATACAAGTGCAAATCACATATGTTCTAATAAATTATATTCAGTAGTGATTTTAATTGAATATTTTGATTATTTATTTATTTTTTCAAATTAAAACTGAACTTTATTGACTGTGTCCTTTTCCAGACTTTTTATTAATTTATTGTAATTAATTATTTGCATGCAATTAAAAACTAATTTTAAACGATGCCAAAGAAGGATAACTTCTCACGCGCCTACATAAGTACACGCACCCATTTTTTTTTTTTAAAGAATACTTGTGGTGTGATCTACAATCGAAAGCGAAGCCAAAAATATAGTTTTTGTCTGTGTGTATGTCCGAGATAAACTCAAAAAGTACTGCATGGATTTACTTCAAATTTGACTCGAATATTATTAAGAAGTCGGGTCAACATATAGTGATGAATAAATAAACTGTGTTATTGTGTGTATGTGTTATTAATATAGTTTATACAGAGGGTAGGAGCAATTCTCATACACTCAATTTAATTACAAATTCAAAAAAACGACATCTACTTTCGAATTTTTTTCGTCGAGCTAGGGTTCGAACAATAAAGTATATTTCTAAATTTATTCGAAGGAAATGAGAATTGGGCCTCAGTTCTGTGACGAGTATAAACATTGTAAAACCATTCTTAACAACACAAGGCGAAAATGTTCCTGATACAGTTAGAGATCAGTTGTGCAGGCCTATATTTTTGTGTACATAATCTCTTGTCCATTTACTGGACATACCTAAGTAAAACAAACAAGGTGATTCATGATCATCACATATGAGGCAATATCTTAATTATCTTCTATTAAGAATTTGTAATGCATTTGTTGTATTTCCAATTTTAAGTACTTATTATTCTCATTTCATCAGCAGCGTCCTCCTGTCAATGCCATAAAAAATCCAGACGATCTTGGTTGCACTGTATATGCGGACCCTGACAAAGCATATATCGAGAAAATAAAACTAGCATAATTTTACCAGAAAAAGAAACCACGCGGACCGAGCAGCAGACGGGACTCCAACCCCTTCGCTATCCGGGCGAATGCACTGATTGGGTAGCATAAAAATTTTATCCTTCACATTTAGGGGGCTGAAAAATAGACGTTGTCCGATCCTCAGACCTACTACAAATATGCATATAAAATTTCACGAAAATCAGTCGAGCCGTTTCGGAGGAGTTCAATTACGCACACCATGACACGAGAATTTACACACAATCATTGAAATACACGTGGGGCCCTGTTATCATATAACAGAACTTGCTATTCTTGATAAGAACTACTTGTCTATAAAAGGATCTATAAATTGCGGTGAGTTTGATTTTCATTCAATTGTACTTGATCACCGTATAGAAACTGATGAAGAACAAAACATGAAAACACTAACATTTGTGCCTTTGTTCATTTTGATCAGCGAAACAATAGCAATAGTTAGGGCAGTTAATCAAGATGAATGGTGGACTAGTACGATTTTTTACCAAATCTATCCGAGGTCATTCGCTGACAGCGATGGTGATGGCATTGGGGATTTAAATGGTAAGTATCAAATCTTATCTCAAGGAGTTAAAGTGTAAACAAGATTGATTGTAGGCATTCCTTTTAATTGGATTGAAATTAATATAATCTGATAGTCTATTAATTGAATCGTGATGCAAATATTTGACAATTCATGTCTAATCACAGGAATCATTTCTAAATTGGACTATATTAAGGGATTGGGTGTTGGAGCGATTTGGTTGTCACCTATATTTCAGTCTCCAATGTACGATTTTGGGTATGATATCTCTGACTTTTACGCCATTCAGGATGAGTATGGAACTATGGAGGATTTTGAGGCTTTAACGCAAAAAGCTAAGGAACTTGGTAAGTTGACTGATTAATTAATATGTATAGGGAATGCTCTATCTTTTAATGAGTCTGATGATATTCATAAAGATGAAGATCATAATGTCAGGAAATTCTGTATATACTCGTAGTTTAGGCGTATTACGTATAAGTCTTTCATGCCATTAGCAAAAAACCTGTTTACACTCTGCAAAAGGAATATGTCATATAATATTTACGTTTTTCCGCAGACATTAAAGTTGTCCTCGATCTCGTGCCGAATCACACATCAAACGAGAGCGTGTGGTTCCGAGAGGCTCTTAACGGCAACAAGAAATATTACGACTACTTTATTTGGGAGGATGGCGTCATTGACGAAAGCGGGAATAGGCACCCGCCTAATAATTGGGTACGATGATTTTAATGAATGCAAAATAAACATCATTCTGCATTAGATAAATTACCAACAACCGAGATGTTATACCTCGATATCATTCTCTTGCTGCTAGTTTCAATTCTATTTTTCATTGAAGTTTGATTCCAGTAAGACGTCCGCCTACTAGAGCTTTGCACATGTATTTTTTATGTTTAAGATTATAATTATAGCTGTTGCTAAGTAATTGAACAAGAATGAACTTAAACTGCAGGTTGATTTTTGAAGTTGGCTGTTTAATAATAAATAAACAGGAGCAATACCACTATTAAATCGCAACAATTTATCACAAGAAAATTAAGATTAGAAATTCTGTAAGCCCTCAATGGCAAAAATACGTGCTCTTTCGAATGAATGTTGGAGATAATATTATTGGAGTCAAGTGAAACTTTAATGAACGTCATTGTTTTCAGCTAAGCCATTTCCGCGGCAGCGCTTGGGAATACAGGGAAGAAGTTGGCAAGTATTATTTGCATCAATTTGTTGTCGGCCAGCCAGATCTCAACTACCGCAACCCCGACGTTGTTCAAGAAATGAAGGTAATTTTTGTGAGATTTATTTTAATTATACATTCACGAGTTTTGCCAATTCAGTTTTGGAATTTAACTAGCAAAAGGTCTTAGACATTATTTATTGTAGTACTGATATTATGTCCATATTATATAATTGAGAAAAATAATGTTATTTTTTTATGAAAACAGTCGCAAATAAGCATTCGGCCAGGCTCCGCGATCCACATTTAAAGTCTAGCCAAACCGTATATTGTATTATCTCTCACGCGTGATAAAAAAAAAGTTGTGTATTTTTGTAAGATTTTTTTTAATGAATCAGGGGTAAGGGGGAAAAGTGTATTTTCAATTGAAAATTATCTAGAAAACCTAGTTATAAGCATTATAGACTAATGTAAATAACTAGGTATACAATTTTCTTGTGTCGTATATAGAACTGAAAAGATTTTTATTGTATTGCCTGAAATAAAGAGTTAAGGTATTGGATATGGAGAAAGTATGGAATAAATTAATGTATTTGTAATAATAAACTCCGGACCATTTCCAACAATTATTTTGTCCCAAACTAAGCACAATTTGTTCCAGGATATCTGAATGGGTAACTTATTTAATACACATATTATACCCCTACCAGGATTCGAAGCTAGAAGGCAAAGCGCTACCATTTCATTAAACGGTCATCAAAACTAGTGGTCGTAATAAAAATATTGTCTATACTATACGAAACTAAAAATTTACATTACCTATGTAATTGTTTCACTGATTTCAATTTAATGATTATTTCAGAACGTAATTAGTTTTTGGTTGGAGAAAGGGGTTCACGGATTTAGAGTGGATGCCGTTAACTGCTTGTTTGAAGTCGATAAGAATCTATTTGGAGGGGTTTATCCCGATGAACCACCCTCGGGGCGTACTGATGTCGATTCAGATAATCACGACTACCTGTCTCACATTTACACCAAAGACTTGAACGAAACGTACTATATGGTATATGAATGGAGGGAATTGTTAGATGAATTCGCAGAAAAAGACGGCGTTGCAAGAGTAATGATGACTGAAGTATATGCGACAATTCAGAATGTTGTGAGATATTATGGTGAAGGGGATATAAAAGGCGCCCAAATACCGTTCAACTTTGATCTGATCACAGATGTGGACGCATCATCGACTGCCCCAGATATAAAGTATACTATTGACAAATTCATAACATATAAACCGTTAGACCAAATCCCAAATTGGGTGGTAAGTATATTACAGTAATGTGAAATACTGTAGCCTAAAGAACTAGTCTTTATTACCTATGTTCATTTACTTTCAGGTTGGTAATCATGACCAAAGTCGGATGGCTACTAGATTCGGGTCAACATTGATAGATGGAATCAACATGTTGGTTTTACTTCTGCCTGGAGTTGGTGTAACGTACATGGTAACAAATTGAATTATATTGATGAGTTTGGTTATTACATGAAAATCTATGTTAACCCAGATATTTTCTATGGATTTGTTATAAATTTAAGGGTGAAGAAATCGGTATGGTAGATGGATATGTGAGTTGGGAAGACACTGTTGATCCTGCTGGGTGTAACACTAATGATCCCATAAATTATATAATATCGTCGAGAGATCCTGAAAGAACTCCGTTCCAATGGAATGCAGGCAAGAATGCAGGTAAATTAAAATATAAAGAGGACTGTTTGCTGTAAGCCTACAGTTTTTTTAGTGTTTACTAAAGTTAATAAAAAGTTTTGGATAACAATTGTCAATACTTATTAGTGGCGCCAATGACTGACAGTGATTGTCATTTTATTCTATGATCAATGAAAATAGGAATGGGTAGCTCATCGTTGAACGTGTTAGCACCGAGCTTTAGACGCTCGGTGTTATCATATTTAGGGAAAGGTTGCCTACTCTTAATTTTATTGATCATAGAAGGAAATATCGATCATTAGTTCTTGTTGGTCATTGGTGCCACTACTTACATTGCTATTTATGAACAGGTTTTTCCACCGGGGATAAAACATGGCTGCCTGTTGCTGACGGATATGAGACTTTGAACGTAGAGGAACAGATTGCAGCAGAAAAGTCTCATTTGAAGGTCTACCAGGTGTTAGCGCAACTTCGTCAGAATCCTGTGTTTCGACATGGCCGTTATGAGTCACTTGCAATCAATAATGATATCCTAGCCTTCAGGAGGTAACGAGACTGTTTTTTTTTACATCAAATATATTTGATATAATATAATTGATGTTAAGAAAAGCTTTTTTATACATCAATAATACCCCATGATATCTGTGTCCAATGTTTTAGTGTGTAAACTAAAATTGTGAACCGTAGTGAGGAAGAGAGTCAATATTTGATGTGTAACATCTTTCCTCTCGCTTTCCTGCAATTTTTGGGAGTGATTTCGTAAAATGGGACGGAAGTGTATACAAGGAAGTCGCGAAAGCGCGCGCTATTTGTGTTGATTTTAGAACATAATGTTGAAATGACTTATTCGTTCTGCAGAAGATTTTATTTCTTTTTTTTATTGATGTGTAACATCTTTTCTCTCGCTTCCCTGCAATTTGTGGAAGTGATTTCGTGAAATGGGACGGAAGTGTGTAACAGGAAGTCGCGAAAGCGCTATATGATTTGCTTTTAGAACTTAATGTTTAAATGGCTTATTCCTTATGTAGTAGGTTTTATTACTTTTCTTTACTAATATAACGTGAGGTTTTCTAATGTTATTTTTATTCATTATTGGAATTTCTATTGTCACTTTTACCTAATAATTAAGTTATTATATACTAATTAAAAGCAACCTCAATAGAAGAAACGATGGTACGGGACGCTTTGTTGAGTTGAAGTTAATATTCAACAGGCAATCCCTTGTAGCACTGAAAAAAATCAAACTTCTAACGTCAGTGCTCGAATCCGAAAACCTATATCCTTTCATCGATTTTGTTTATATTTTGTTACAGGTGGTTAAATAAAGAGACTTTTGTTATAGTACTGAATTTGAAAGATAAAGACCACGTCGTGGATTTGACTCACTTTGAGAATGTCAGATGGAAACTTAAGCTGGTCTTGGGCAGTATTCAATCAGATAAACATAAAGAGTAAGTAATTGAAAATATTTTGATGATTTAAGAGTGTCTGTAGTGCATACAATTTGAATTAAGACATTTTGACTTTGGAAAAATTATATGCCTTGGGTGACTCACATAATTATTTATCTGCATTTTCTTCTTGATTTATGGATAAATTAAGACTTGTCATCTAATACAATAAATTACCTGTCTTTGTACTACGCATAGCAGGTTAAACATAAAGTGACAAAATTATTTAAATTTTCAGGCAAATTTTCGAAGCATCTTCTCTGCCAATAAATGGATATGAAGCATTGGTTTTACGAGTTATATAGATTCAATAGTTAAAAAAGTGTAATTATAAAAGATATAATTTTTGGTAATACACGTTTGATTTGCAGTTTATACCTTTAATATTTAGGATTTATAAAGCCAGAAACACCATTATAATTTATTCAGTACAACTACAAGAGTCTGCGAAAGTCTAACAGTTGTCATATTGGTTTGCTTATCAACGGCGGAAGTCTTTGTGCATGGAAAGATGAAATGTTTGATCACGGTAATAATATAAATAATATTACCGTAGTTTGGTTCTCCCATAATCTTATTTAAACATAATAGATCCATGAATTTTCAGCTTATTGATTATAAATTATTATAAAAACGTAATATATTTACATGTATCACAAGCACATTAAATTACAAAACAATATTATTATTCGGAAGGCACGTTAAGCCGTTGGTACCGGCTGCATCTGCAGTCGTTAGCACCCGCCAATCCGCACTGGGCCGCGTGGTGGGTCATGGCCCAACTTCCCTATTCCATCCATAGTGAAGGCCTGTGCCCCAGCAGTGGGGACATTAATAGGCTGATGATGATGATTATTATCGTGTCGTGCATCAGCTGATCTAAAATGTCGTATGGTGGAATGGACCTGCGCACTCACTCCACAGCCCGGCGCACGCGCCGTCGTCATGTTGCCGAACAGTCGCAACATATATCTAGCATATAGTGATCTCTGACCTATAACACAAAATAGATAATACAGAAGACAATCTTCATAAAAAGTGCGTTCAAGCAAAGACACATACACACCGCTCACGGACGCTATATCTCGGACTGCTTGAAACCAGGGCGAACGCGAATTCCATTCACTTGATATAGGTACATGTCTGTAAAATTTATGTGCAAGTATATGTAATATGGTAAAAGGAAAATATTATAATTGTTCCGTGGATGGTTGTTTGAATTCACATTAAATAGTGAATCGCTTAATTTCGCTATCTGTTCTCCAAAAAGGACAATAATACAAGTCAGTCATTTGTGGAGGGTGAAAGAGTATCCATCTGCAGTCGGTTCCGTTTTGCTCGCTCGATTGTATGTTAATTATAAGTGTAGGTATGTGTAGAAGTTGCATATCTAGTTGAGTCAGAGCATTTTTCGTTAGACACAAGTAAGAGCGTACCGTATCTTCCTTTCTTGATTTAATCTAAGGCTTTTTCACTAAAGAACTATCGTGGTAGTTTGTTTGATTAATTGTTGAGAATGAAACAGGAAGAAGAGACCGATAATAACAATATATGCACAATATTTTTTATGTTATTGTTATAAAATAAAAAATATCTGATTTTATTTTTTTTGTTTCTCATCACAAAAAAGTTCTCAGACGTGTACCTCAAGCAGATGGAACTCGCGCTCGCACTGGTCCATATCGGTCCGAGATATCGTGTCCGTGAGCGGTGTCTATGAGTGTTTTGCTCGACCGCATTTTGTATGTAGATTGACTTCTTTACAATCTATTTTGTGTATACTATACGTCCGCGCTTACTAGCCCCGACACTCGAAAGATAGCCTTATTATTGTTTGTGAATGCTTTTACTGTACTTTTCTTTCTTATTATGTGCTTGTGTGTGTGCCACTCCTTCTAATATATAGTTCCTTCTGTGATTGTACAATATACTGTTAACCGGAGTGTTGGAGTTAATACTTCACCGCCTCCCAGCTGTATCGCAGTTACGAGTAAGCACTGAGCGATCTATTACATACCTACCTATCCGTACATCCAACATCGCCATAAAAATAAATAGAGGGTTCTTTGTTTGATATATAGGTATGTATATGAGATGAGGGTAATAATATTTTAACACGACGAAGTGTAGTCTAATAAAACTAAATAAATTGTTGTTTTATCAGACTGCTTGATCTGGAATGCAACGAACTATGAAAAGTATCATATATTATACTCATGAAAATATAGCAATAATTAGGAAGATCAAAATTGAACTTCTAATAAATCTATATTAGTTTTTGTAAGGATTTAATCACTATGCAAGTGATTTTGTTGGTTCTTTGATGCCTTGATTGCAAATGAATAGGATAATTTATTTATTTATTCCATCCATCACAGCGCGATATAATATGTATTTCTTGCTGAAAATTTGCTTGTAAATGTGTAGGCCAATTACGATCATCCACTTTCTTACATCGAAATTATCTAAATATATACCTATGTCCTCAAGGAAAACTAATTTAACATTACCATAAAATTACATGTGTCTACACGTAAATATAATAAGGTATATAAACATACAGATAAATTAAATATAATCACGTCAACCATGACTTTAATATAACAGTAAGAAAAAATAAATTGCAGTTGCTACTTAAAAAACCCTGCCTCTAAATTATGGACAAAGAGACTCCTGTGCTCGTCTGGATTGGTACTTACAACAATGCTGAATGGCCCTGAATGGGGTTGATTTCCTACATCTCTAATTATAATTATACAAACCACCGCACAGATATCGCTTAATATTAGCAAGAAAAAGGTTCTTAGATCCAACAAACAAGTCAATATCAAAAAATTGTATATTGAAAGTGTGTCGTGAATACTGCGTTTTATCCGTAATTAGTATGGCGATGTGGAACATGTAATGAACGGGTGTGTTGCGTTTGATGCCCGGAAGTGTTCAGTGAGATCAGCTTCACGAGCTCAGGACAATCCATACGACCACGGAAGACGTCATACAAAAGGCCCATATCCAGTACCTGTCGCTCGTCCAACGTAAGAAGGTTGTTAGCGTCATACTTCCTTATAATCGGCACCTGATTCTCCCTGCCTATATTTAAAGTTAAGGTGTCTGATAAGTTTTTTTGTATGCATTCGACGCATTTAACGTAGACCTCATAATATGGAGACCACACAGGGACAGCATACTCTAATTTACTGCGCACATATGCGTAATATACTAATTTTGAGGTTAACGGACTGGAAAAGGGTGCACAAGTACGTATGGCAAAACCCAAGCATCGGTACGCCTTACCTACACAGTACCAATGTGAGTGGACATTGTAAGTGAATACAATCGGATATTTTCTGCGCGTGAAGCTTATACACTGACATTTCCCAATATTAACTGTTATTTTTATATAGTAATTATACAGTTTATAAAGATCTTTTTGTAAAAGTTCATAATCTGCAGCAGAACCTACCTTTAAACAAATCATTTTGTCGTCAGCGTTATATTAAAAGTTTTGAGTTTTTATTACTTTGTCTATATCATAATATAGGCGTGGTAAAAGAGGGGACCAAGATGTGACCCCTGGGGAATTTCAGAGAGTATAGAGACATGGTTAGACCTTTAAGCACCCAAAACGACAGTCTGTGAGCGGTTGGTGAGATAAGAACGGACTCAGCGCCACAAATCGCCGTGTACACCAAGGCAGTGAAGTTTCTGAAGAAGGATGTCGTGGTCCACATGGTTGTAAGCTTTTTTAAAGTCCGTGTAGACCACGGCAACATACCCTCCTCTCTCCATTTCCACCAGAACATAATTGAAGAACAATGCTTACTTTGTTCAGTGGTTAGGCAAAATAGCGCGACCCCGCAAAAAATAAACAGAAAAATCAGGATAACCATGCCCAACAAATAGATTTAATATACTCGAACTATTTACTTACTTTTTTTTTAAGCTGAAAAATTAGGTGATTGCTTATTCATTATGTTTCCATAGCATTTAATACACCGTATGAAGCCGGGACGGGCCGCTAGTCTTAGATATATACTATTGCTTGTTAGCCTAATATTTGTATTCCAATACTATCTAGAGAAATTTAGCTTTTGATAGTTCTTCATAGAAATAGTAAGAATAGTATCGATACAATCGATAGTAATGATTAGAAACTATCGCTAGTTTCTAAATTCAATAGTATCGATGGTTCTAGGTTTCATCAATAATATTGCAAACTATTGGCTATAGATACTATCGATATTGCAACTGCATTTCAAGGAAGCGGTAGTCTCGAAAGACTATCGATATTTTACACTATTGCTTGCAACACTACGCCACAGCTCCTCGGCCGCCGGCGGCTCACGCATGTCACTGCGGCAAATGGAGCAAAATTCACTGCGAACTGCAATTAACACTCCACCGCCTCGATGATATCCACTTGCAACTACGTTTCGGTCGCGCCTATAAATCGCATACCTGTGATCAAAATACTCGAAGTCGTGAAAGTTATCATTCAGTCAGGTCTCTGTGATACATATTATATTTCTATATTATTTCACCTTTGATTCAATTTATCAGGATCAAATTTTATGAGTAAGTCGAGAATAAGATGCAGGATATACAGTGTTCTTATTAATAATGTGTAGTTCACAAAGATTTTATAGATTATTATTTATTGGAAATCGGTTCGGGTTTAAAATAAATCTCTTTCGACATTTCTCGAGATTTAAAAACTTATTTTTATATGCATCACCCCATATAGAAATTGATGGTGTGCATTTTCTTAAAGTGATTTTCATTTATTGAATTTAATTTTCCAATTCTTCATCATCGTTATCTTCTCCTGGTGGCTTGCATCTGACTTCTGCTTCGTTCTCTACATTATCTTTCTCATCAAAAACAGTCAGCTCTACAGCTTCCAGACTAATAACATTGATGAGGAAAGTGAATAATTATATTCCAGTAATCGGAATAAATTCGCTCCCTTCATTGACGTCGTCTGGACATGAAGCATTGAGGGCAGCCTTGTTCACTGCATTACCTACAAACTGAAGAGCATTTTAAGCCTGTTTTCCTGCATCTACAACAGAGATTGTATGTTGGGATAAGAGCTTCATTACTAAGTATTAATCTACATTACAGTGTCTGAAGTCTCCCCACTCTTACTTTGAAATTTGTACAGAATTACATATTTTTTAATTTCTTTAATAACTAAAGATATCATAGTCGAATTCAAATGCAAAATTTCTTTTTCATATTGGTAGCATATTAACTCTTTTAAATCATCCAAATTTTATTTCCTACCACTGTATTGAACGTTTTGGGCTATGGAGAAAAATAAAGAAAACTTCACAGTATATAGCAGATTCATCTCCGCGAAACAGCACCCATTCGCGAGCTTGACGTATGACGTAGTACAAAAAAAAGCACTTATTAAAAAAGCTTATTAGTGTCTGATTATATTACACACAAAAAGGCTTGGGTTTGAACTGTTTCAATCATTCCAACAGGTTTTTTAATATTATGTAAAGAGTTTAATATTATAGAGTTTTTTCGCTCGTTTTTCTCCGCAGCTAAGAAATATGTCCAATATCAAGTGATAGGGAAAAAAAAATTGGACGACTCAAAAGAGTTGTACTATACATCCAATTTGAATAAAGATATATTGATTTCTGAACCAGCCATCATGGTAGAGCCATCGCTCTACCATATTTAAAGGAATGTTACGATCCGACTCACTTAACGCCACCGAAGAGACTTTTAAAAGAACATAACTACCCATAACCGCCTATACTAAACTGCAACATAACTATACTTAAAATTAAGGTCATTCATCTGTAGGACACTGCAAACAATTACAAAATAAAGGAGTCGGTTTACAAATACATCGTTGTTTATGTTAAGCTATCTTAATCAATTTAAATAATCGAATAGTTAACATAATAAATATAATAGAATATCTTGTTACACAGTACAAATACAAAACAGACTCATCCCCACTGGCAGCATCTATTCATAAGCATGACTTAATAGAGACACGGAGTAAAGAACAAACGAAATTTTCACAAAACACCGAATTTTATGAAGGTCCACCGGGACGATATCATATTGATTTTTGAGACACGTCTTACCAGGTCAAAACAAAGGTCTACGCAAAAATCTAGCAGCTTATTCGCTCGAATTCCGAGATAAAATCCTTATTATCCTGGGCATTAGTATTAATATCCATTTAATACCAATGTATATTGAACCGGCCAGCAACAGAATTTAGCACACTGCACCATTACGAAATGTATATGTTATATTGGTATCATTACTCAATAATCAGACGTCTCAGAGACTTTCCAGATAATAGCTGATAATGAAAAAAACACTGTTGATAAAACCCCCTAGTGATTACAGATAACATCTTCGATGGAGATGCTTTGAGGTTACCTGCATTAATACGAATTTGTTATCTCTGATTTTTTTATCATTTATTGAGATATTCAGAACTATAAAGACCAGCAAACGGCCACCCATCGTCTTAATTGGACCCACCATGCGGTAAGTTGCTCCTTTTTACAATTTCATATTATAATATTAAAATCAAAAATAAGTATAATGAAAACAATATTTACATAATAACTTCAATTCATTTGGTAATATTTCTTTAGTTTAGTTTCTTTGAAATATCCTGATTAATATTTATAATGTTTTTGTAATAGGAAATCTTGGATCTTGCTTCCTCTATCTGTCCTGGCTTTTGCCAGTGCGCAAAAGGAATTGGATTGGTGGGAGACAACTGTCTTCTATCAGATTTATCCCAGGTCCTTCAAAGACAGCAATGGTGATGGCGTCGGGGATCTGAAGGGTAAGAAATTATTTATGTAATTTTATAATGTTACAGTTGCTCTTGCTCCAGAAGTTATAGGTTCAAATCCCAGTTTATTTATATGATGAAAAATATATTTGTCCCCATGTCATAATTATTTATAAGTTGCTTGGGGCTTATTAATTGATGTAACTTTTTCGAAATTTATAACCTATAATTATTTTTCTAATTTATTACCAAATAAACACATTACAGGTATCACTTCAGAACTCGAATACTTGAAAGAGTTGGGTGTTGGTGCGACATGGCTTTCGCCTATCTTCAAGTCACCCATGTATGATTTCGGTTATGATATCTCGGATTTTTACGATATTCAAGATGAATATGGAAATATGGAAGACTTTGATAACTTGCTTGCTAAGGCTAACGAACTCGGTAAAACTTGAGAGATGGTTATGACTTAGTCTTTTATTATTGTGACTAAATACTAAAAGTAGTAATATTACTGAGTAATTTTCAGATATCAAAATTATTCTCGACTTCGTACCAAACCATGGAAGTAATGAAAGTGTGTGGTTTCAAGAAGCTTTGAAAGGAAATAAAAAATACTATGATTACTTCGTGTGGGAAGATGGTGTAGTAGATGGGAATGGAAACCTCCAACCACCAAATAACTGGGTCTGTTATAGAAATTTATTAAGTTCAGACTTATATTCAGTTCAGAATTAGATTCGATACAAAAAAGTTCATAATATATCAAATTTTGATTTAAACAGTTTGCCTTCAGTATTTGATAAACGGTGGCTGAATTGGAGATTTTTTATTTATTTTTGGAAGATATACTACATTTTTTCGTTATTCGTATTGCAGAGGAGTGTTTTTCGCAACAGTGCCTGGGAATATAGAGCGGAAGTTGGCAAGTACTACCTGCATCAGTTTGTTATCGGTCAACCTGATCTGAACTACCGTAACCCAGATGTAGTTGAAGAAATGAAGAATGTCATTAGATTTTGGTTGGACAAAGGTGTTGCTGGGTTCAGGGTTGATGCGATCAATCATTTATTTGAAGTTGACAAGGAACTATTTGGTGGTAAATATCCGGATGAGCCACGAACTGGCTCAGAAGACCCAGATAGCTATGATTATCTACATCACATTTACACAAAAGACCAAGAAGAAACTTACGGCATGGTGTATCAGTGGAGGGAAGTACTTGATGAGTACAAAGCAAAGGATGGCTTTACTAGAATAATGATGACGGAAGCTTACTGCAGCCCTCAACTGAGGATGAAATACTTTGGGGACGGTGAACGGCATGGATCTCAGATGCCTTTTAATTTTGCTCTCATCTCAAATGTTAACGGCAAATCAAGTGCCAACGAAATCAAGTATGCTATCGATGAATTCTTAACCTTCAAACCTATTGACAAGTTGGCTAACTGGGTGGTAAGTTTAATTAGATTATTTTAAACCAGTTTTGTCATTTTTATTCACATTGAGATAACTGTCACGGTGTTATTTATTGCAGGCTGGAAATCACGACCAGAGTAGAGTAGCATCAAGATATAGTCCAGAATTAGTGGATGGAATGAACATGATTGTGCAACTTCTTCCTGGTATAAGTGTAACATATATGGCAAGTAACATATTTAGTTAAAATTAATAAAAAATATTAAGTAAGTACCCCAGTCATAATATCAATGATATAATTGCCAGCTCTTCAACATTGATTATGATTTTTATATATTGCAGGGTGAAGAAATTGGCATGGTTGACGGTTTCGTAAGTTGGGAGGATACGGTGGATCCGAGTGGTTGCAACACAAACGACCCTATCAACTATGTGAATGAGTCCAGAGACCCTGAGAGGACTCCATTCCAGTGGACTGCTGACAAAAACGCTGGTGAGAGCATGGTGTCTACTTGTTCTCTTTTATTGGTGGGGAAATATTACAACAATTTTCAAGACATGCAATTAATTTGTAATTAATGGAAATTTATTGCGAAATTTATGTTTTGCGTTGTGGGTTAAAGCTTGTTTTCCCCGTGCAACTCTATCTCTATCCATCGGTAAATCCTGGGCATCAGCATCAGGTACAATTATATGCTAATGGCAATGGTAATGAAGATGTATAATATCAAAATGTTCAGGGTTCTCGACGGCTGACAATACATGGTTGCCCGTGGCTGCTGGGTACGAGACACTGAACGTGGAGGCTCAGAGGGGCGTCGAGCGGTCGCACCTCACCGTGTACAAGGCGCTGGTGCAGCTGCGTGGCCAACCCGCCTTTACGCACGGACGATACGACTCCTTGGCGCTCAACAAGGATGTCTTCGCTTTCAAAAGGTGAACTTTCAGTACTGACACTAGCTGGTGTCTCGATATTGAATGACAAACGTTTGACAGTATCATCTTGTTTCACCCTTCTAGTTTATTCATTTTTTCCTTAAGAATTCGTTTGCTTGAATAATAAATAAAATAATTTATACACGAAAAACGTATCATAAATAATAATTTTATATTTATAATAGAAATAATTTTATTACTATATCGTGGATATGGATAACAAAAATACTCAATCTAAATTGAACGTTCATTATTAAATATTATAACCTGTTTTGATCACTTTTTTTTTTAAATAATGATAATGTTTATTTATTTCAAAATTTGATTTACAAAATAGATGTTGACTTTTCTATTAGGTACCGTAGCACCTTTGTTAGAAATAGTCACTTTGTCTTTATTTGTTTGTTTTATTAATAACATGGTACCTTTCCTATAAAAAAATAAAGCGTTTGTATTACATTTTACCAACTATAATTAAGAGATATAAAAATCAGTCTGTTTGTGTGTGTGTGTGTGTAAGTGTTGTATTTGTGTGTGTGTGTGTATGTAGTATGTATGTATATTTGTGTGTATGTACGTGTGTGTGTGTGTTTTTTCACACACACGTACATACACAATTTTTAACAAAGACGTGATTTCAAAATATGCTCAGCTTCATCATATTTCAGACACTTCAATCATTCTGTAAGTACTTTTTTGTACGGCCTGTAGTTACTTATATCTTCCTAATGACTTTCAAATGCTTCAAATGTTTATAGTAAAAACGTTTTCTTCTATTTCTGCGTTATGTGAATGTGGAAGTATGTATAATATGTATCAGTTTATGTGCATGAGTATCAGACTCAGCTTATGGTTTAATAATAAACAAAAAAATATTGAACAACGATTTAAGTTGATGCTATTTATAAAAGTTAACAAAGGTTATCAAGTTCTCTTTATCTTCATTTGGCGTCATTTGACAGAAGTATTGCCAGATTACTTTTGTGGGTTATATTGGATAGATAAATATTTAATTTTAAATTGAAGCGGTTCAAAAATGGTCCTTGAAATAGGTAAAAAGTATGTTTCCTTTCGTCTTTTATACAATTGTCCAACTGTTAGTAAGTTAGAAGATTTATAAAGGAGACCTGTGAGATAAAGAAATGTGCTGAAGTTAGCAACCTCGTTGGGCTCTCTCAAGAGTTAGTAATAAGGTTTTAAAAGTACCACCTCAGGGTGTAATGCAATATGTTAGTATGGATTAACACAGAGCATATCAAACTAGAAGAAATATTTTGTAAACCGCACTACCACGTAGTTTTCTCAACAGAAACATCAATTTATTGACTTTGTTGTTCAAAGCATTGATGTGAGGCCTAAAAGAGAGTGTGTCGTCGTTAATATTATTTATTTATTTACCTGAACAAATATGTGGTCCATAAAGCGTTAGTAACACTTTCACTTGTATACTATGTTAGTAAATATTTAAAATAAAATTTGTTTGTACAAAAAATAAATACAAATACAGAAAAATATTATACCTAAGTATTCTATTTGACTAGTCCTGATGAACTCTGCATATTCAACCTAGCAGTATGCAGGTTCTACACAATAATGAGCTCACAGGTTACTATTTATAAGAGCAATCGAAGATTTGCATACCAAATTCATAAACTTAGTTTTCCGAGTTGGGTGTTGTGTGTGAATGTTGGTGCATCCAGTTATTTAGAACATTGAAGACTTTTTGTGTGCATTCGTAAAGTTCAACCTCAGAGCATACAGAAAAGAGAAAAACAGTATCGTCAGCGTAAGGAATGATCTTTCAAATAAACTAACTTTAATAACATAAATCATTTATGTAAATTAAGAATAAAGTAGGGCCTAAAATACACCCCTGAGGAACTCCATAATAGGTATTGGCTAAATCTGAGCTGAGAACTTTTCCTATTTTTTACGCGTTGGGTGCGCTTGCTTAGATAATTAGTAAATAGTTTAAGCTAGGTGCCTCTTATACCTAGTGGTTCAAGTTTCTGTAATAAAATGTTACGATAGTACGCGATTATCGCATTCATTCATGAAAATTAAATCTTTTATAATAATGCGACATGGAATGACCTCATTATTTTAAGTCCGCTTCATACTTAGCTGATTCATAAAATAAAACTTTACTATTAATGCAATACGTAAGCGATAAAAAAAATACTTTTCAATATAAATATACCCATACCATGTATCAGGATGATATATTTGAACGATAACAGACAAAATAGTATCTAATCTGAACTCATGTGATGTTCCGTGCAATGATCTTATGTAACTAAACTGCATTTCTGAAGTTCTACATGTTGTATAGGTACTCGATTATCTCTCTTAAGGCAGATAGCTCATAAGCAAGTGTGATGATACATTTTGCGCATAGTTTGGCTGAGTGCAATGTTTGAAACTGTCAATCTACAACATTGCTCTAAAGTTACTTAGATGAAATGCTATAAATACGTACAAAAGTAAATGTAAGCTGGTTTATGTTCTAAGTCAGGTAATACACATATAGGGAAAATATTAGAAACTGAATGTTACAATCGCTTAAGTTAATGAAACTTTTATTGTTAGATGGAATGATGCCGACTGAATAGGTCTTTAGAATAGAATAGAATATATTTTATTAACCTTCATATTACAGATATTACACATTTACAGATACAGATTCAAAACAATAAAGTATTAAACATTTGAAAGAAGAAATAGCAATTATAGTTATGATTTAGCATAATGGTCAGTGCATTCGCCCGGATAGCGAAGGATGCGGGTTCGAGTCCCGTCCGCTGCCTGGTCCGCGTGGATTTTTTTCTAGTAAACCTTTCTTTAGATTTAAACATCTAGCAGTTAAATGCTTAAAAAATAAATAAAATCAAGACTCTACTTAATCTTCACATTAGTGAGATGGGGTGATTTGCTAAGCCCTGTGAAAGAATAACATTGTGATGTGATAAAAATTGAATTTGTAACACCATAGCATTAAATATCATCACGCCGCCCGCTACTAGATGGCGCTGTACGCATGTGAATCGCGCTATACTATACTGACACCACTTGTATAAGGTGTTCTTGGGAAATTGACCAATTCATCATCGCTTCGTAGGTAGGGCCTATTGTCTTGCACGCTATACGCTTCCACCACGTGGGACGTCTTAGTGTCTTGATAATAGCATACATGTACTTCCACCCTAGTGGGATACAGTAATACTTTTCTTTTACAAATGTTGTATGGTAATCAGAATATAAGTATTTTCTACCTACGCCTATCTTTATTTGGCGTCAGTCTTCTCACTCCACTCCCGCACATTCTTACAAATTTAAATATGCGCCGGATCTGAACCTTTTTCTCTTTCGACCATCTTCTATCATAAGCCATAATTTTTTTTTTAGTAGATATGACACTCGTTATAATAGTGCTTGTCTGATCACAGGTGGTTCAACAATGACAATTACGTGGTGCTGGTAAACTTTAGGGATCAGCAGTACACCGTCGATCTCACCTATTTTGAAAACATTGTCGGTGATTTGGAAGTTGTCCTCACCAACATCCAGTCTCCGAAAACCAATGGGTGAGTCTCTACAATACAAATTTTTATTTATTTCATAATAGCACTCTTTTTCTTTTTAAATCCCTTCCGCGCCAAGGGTTTATTCATCATACAGTCACAGTTTTCCTGCTTGATGCGTGGTATTATGAATTTTAAAAAAATAACACTGTTATTCACGCGCGTTTCACTACCACAGCGCCGAAGCTTTTCATGAATTATAAGTTCTCAGAACGCCCCATACTTTCAGAATCTTTTATAGAGGATTCTTAACATGGGTGTAGATAAAGTCTCGTATGCATCTGTTATAATTAGGAATTAAAACACTCATATGATACTATTATCATACATGCATGTTTGATAAACCCATGAATTATAGAACATTTGCATAAAAATCTATTTGATCACGTAGAAACCACACTCAAATCTTTTTACCAAAAGTAGAAAACTGTTTTGTCAAACAATTTAGGTCCCGTTTATTCATAATAAATATATCATTTGCAGCAAACATTGAGAAGATTGAAACATAGGTTTAGTTTAGCATTCGTAAACATAGGACGCTGTGTGAATCCTACAAACATTGTGGTTTGTATTGTTTTAATTCATCATGTACCATGGACACCAGTCGTAACAGGCTGCCAGTCCATGCCTGTAACTAAATTGATTGCGGGCACATAAATTTTTTCCATCACTTCCAGTCTAGCGTCATAAATCTTACAAACTTTATTGAGGACTCAAAGCCGTCTGTCTAAACCATAAAAATATGTTTGGTTCCAAAAAAATAAATTAAAAAAGTATGTAGGTTACTAGACTAATATACGAAAAAGTGGTACGTAGGTACTTTTATGTTAGATATGTTTTCTAGATAAACGAGTATATTAAAATTATTTAGCAGTTTTATGATATAATTTCATAATATGGATACAAATTGTTTTGGTCCCTGGTTATAATATTATGTAAGACAATTTTAATTATTTTCTTGTTTCAGTGCAATCGTTCAAGCTAATCGCGTGGATGTTGTCGGATACGAAGCTTTGGTACTAAAAGTGAAATAAACAAAATGATGAATCCCGTATTTAATGCAAATAAATAATGCTCAACTTGAAACAGATTTTTTATTTTCCTGCAAGTACATTTTTTTTCTAGCAAGTACATTTCTTTTCTAGCAAGTACATTTTTTTTCTAGCAAGTACATTTCTTTTCCAGCATGTACATTTTTTTTCTAGCCAGTTAAGCAAATGACTGCCCACCTGATGTTAAGTGTTGCTAAAGTCCAAACGAGAAGATAGCTGGTACAGCAGTTATAAACTGCCACGCTAACCGTCCTCACCTTGCCGGCCTGCAAAAATGCTTCTTCACGCCTCTCTTAAAGGACCCCAGATTGTAAGAAGGAGAGAACATGGAATTTAATCATTCTATATTTCGAATCCAAATTGAAATCAGCACTTTATAATCAGTCGCAAAAGAGCGAATACTGACGATCTTTTGCAAGTAGTAAAGTCTCGTCAGATCTTGAACAGGGGAAAGTGCGAAGCAAGTGTGGGTGTAAAGGGCGAGACGAAAATTTGCGCCGTAAAACTTTCCGTTGCGGCGTAGCCACTAAGCCATTTGCGGGGTACTATTTTTGTTTCACTTCATAGAATATTTAACCTATCATCTTAGTTGATTTCGTACCACATACTATTTACAACATCTTTTGAATCCTTATTATAGCGGACGTGAGGGAGCGAGCAAAAATATAGCGAACGTGAGGAAGATCAGCGAATATTACGATAAAAAGAAAAAAAATCACAGAAACTTAGGTGAACAAATGTATGTAAAAACGTATTTACAAAGCGAGACAATGACAAGTGACAAGGAAAAGAACAAAAGTGAAAACAATCAAAAACTAATTATTAATAATAAATAAATAAATTCGTCCAGCAGTGGACGAATATGGGTTGATGATGATGATGATGAGGATGGTGATGGTGATGAAATAAATATACATAAGGAGGTCGGTTCGTCAAACTTATATTGCGTATATTTACTTTTACAAATATTTAAATTTGCGAACGTTCCAGAAATAGTTATTTCCTTGATCATTATTCTTTTACAATGAATACGAAATTGTGATTTGATTCCTGATGATATGTACGACTAAACATTTGATTCATCCACCCCTGCACCTTGGAATCATTCAAAGGTGTTGTTTTAATTATTTACCATCGCCGACCATAAAAATTCCCAAATTATTGTAATTGCTATTATGCATCTTGACCACGAACAGCATTATGAATTGCAGGTAGGTAGTTTGCTAGAAGCCCATCTAATCCGCGAGCTTTCGCGGTTGTATTTTTTCGATCGGTATGGTCCAGGGGCCGCCAATCGGGACTCAGACACTCTTTTAACACAAGCGGAAACGACTAGTAAAATTCGTGTCCTTGAATCGGGACACTACGAAAGAAATAGCACGCAGAGTTGCCATATCCCAATCCTGTGTAGTAACCACGTTGCAGAGGTACCACGGCAAGAATAATTTAGCTGATCGACCCCGCAGCGGTCGCCCAACTGTTTTGACAGCTGCTCAGAAGCGCTACATCAGGTTGCTGGTAGCCCGCGACCCAATAATAAACGCCATTAAATTAAAAGCAGAAATACGGGACGCCTTCAGACTTGAAGTTAGCACTCAGACCATTTGGAATTCCGAGACTCCGGCAAAATGAAGAAGACGAAGAGGAAAACACTTGGCAAAACTGCCTCTTCGTTGACGAATCGCGAATCAGTACTCATCCAGATAACCGACGTGTCCGTGTTTGGAGAAGACCTGGAGACTCTGAAAGGCAAAGAATGGCCACTGGAACGGTTCAGCAAGGCGGGAAATCAGTGTCCTTTTGGGGTGGTATTATGATTAGCCTAGCCTAGCCTCATCAAGGCTTCATGACGACAGACAGATACAAAACAGTCGCTATTGATGGAATCGTCGGACCTTTCCAAGTAAACCATGAGCACCCATTTGTACCGGTTGACGATAATGCGCCCGCACATCGAGCTCAACGAGTCAATGCTGCTCTCACGAAATCACACAGAATACGAAATCACAAGGTTAGACTGGCCTGCCGGCTCTCCTGACTTAAACCCAATAGAGCACGCGTGGGATGCTCTTAAGCGAGCTGTTTGGAACCGGCAGCCACCACCCCAGACAGTGCCGCAGCTCAGAGCTCAGGAAAGCTGCTGTTCAAGAATGGGACAGGTTACCACAAGAAATGCTGGATAACTTGATCCTCAGCACGCCCAGGGGGATCTCCGCATGTGTTCGAGCCAGACGAGGAGTTATTTTGTATTAGTTAAATAACAAATTATTAATAAAAGATTTTTAAGTATGGTTAAACTTTTTTTATATCAAAGATCTATTAAAATCGCCTTTGGATTGAATTATTAAATTTTGGATACAAAAAAATAAAATTAGTGTTTTTTTTTTATTTCAGAAAGTGTATTTTTAAACAAAAAAATAAAAGATATAACGTTAGCATTTTCTCTTGATTAAGTTAAATTTTGAAAATATTTCATCTCTTGCAAGTGATCTCAAACTTGTTTTATATGTGTATGTAAATATTATGAAATGTTTAGTACTTTTTTGTCATGCGTCTTTCATCTATAAAAAATAGATAAATATCATCTTAAGACGTTTTAAGATTATATATTTTATTATCTACCATGATCTACAGCTTATCTCGCATGGATACATTATATAAGAGGTAGAAGATGATCACACAGTATCTGTATGGGATCCAACATGAGGTAAGAACGCATTTTTTGTACTATGAATATCTTTTGCATTTTATAGTCCACTTTGAGTTTATTTTGATTTTATTCTTTTTTATATAAGTTGACTTCTTGTATTTCGCTATAGGACATACTGGATCCTGGTGTGTATAGTTGGTCTCCTAGCGCAAGGTATTGCGCAGGAGGAGCTAGATTGGTGGGAGACTACTGTTTTCTATCAGATCTATCCCAGGTCTTTCAAAGACAGCGATGGTGACGGCATTGGCGATCTCAATGGTACTGAAATTTGTTATTTAGTATATTTTTTGCGTTCAGTTGACATTTTGTGATATTTGCATTCATTTTGAAAAAAGTTAACATTATTGTTGAACTTCGTCATGCTAATTGCATCCACGGATGTTTGAAATGTATATACCTATCTTATTCAATAACCACTCTAATTCCATTGTAGTTTGTAATTTAAATTTCGATGACTCTGGTGTAAACTCGATTGAGTTTATGTTGCAAAATACTTGTAAATTTGTTATGTATCTGTATGATCATAATATTAATGAATAAAATAAAAATATTAGCAAAAAATATCGCTAATTATAATTTTATTCACAGGTATTACTTCACAGCTTAAATATTTGAAGGAATTGGGTGTCGGTGCAACTTGGCTTTCGCCCATCTTCAAATCACCAATGTACGACTTTGGATATGACATCTCGGACTTTTACGATATTCAAGATGAATATGGAACAATGGAAGATTTTGAAAATTTACTTTCTGAGGCTAAGGAACTAGGTAAACGTGTGCTAAATAATCGTGCAGTTAAACGATATGTAATAATATAGTACGAACCGATCCTGACATGTCGCGTCACATGCTAACATTACAGACTAGTTAGCGATGAATTGTTGTGATTCTGCAAAGTTCGCTTGACCCACCGCTTGTCAGTTTGCTAAAAGGCAAGAGCTAATTCACATGCCATGCATAAAAGTGGGATCGTGGGCTATGACACACCTTCAACGACATTTGAAATCATATCATAATCTAAATTTACATAATTTTAACTTTCAGATATTAAAATAATTCTGGATTTCGTACCAAACCATGGAAGCAATGAAAGTGTTTGGTTTGAAGAAGCTCTGAGAGGACACGAAAAGTATTATGATTACTTCGTGTGGGAAGACGGTGTAGAAGATGAGAATGGAAACCTCCAACCACCAAATAACTGGGTATGTTGATGAAAATATTCAAATTCAGGGCCTTACTACTAAAGTTGATCTGTAATTGTATTTACTTTTAAAGTGAAATTGTTATCTTACTGTCATCCATCTTGCTCTTATTTATATAGTTTTAATGCCGTAGAGTAGGACACAACTCGCGCAAGTGCATGATACTTCAAATTTCGATTTTCAGAGTCCTCTTTCAGTATTTGATAAAAGATAGCTAGCTGGATTACAGCCTCACTTGTTTTTGCTTTTTTCTAAGCTAAAATTTTAGAAAATATTAATATTACATTACAGAGAAGTGTCTTTCGTAAAAGTGCTTGGGAATATAGAGAAGAAGTTGGTAAATATTATCTGCATCAGTTTGTCATCGGTCAACCTGATCTCAACTATCGCAATCCGGACGTGGTCGAGGAAATGAAGAATGTCATCAGATTCTGGTTGGACAAAGGTGTTGCTGGATTTAGGGTTGATGCAATCGCTCATTTGTTTGAAGTCGACAAGGAACTATTCGATGGAAAGTACCCTGATGAGCCTTTAACTGGCAATGATGACCCGGACAGCTATGATTATGTTGATCACATCTACACTAAGGACCAAGACGAAACTTTTGATATGGTGTATCAATGGAGAGAAGTATTTGACGAATACAAGGCAAAAGACGGCTTAACAAGGGTAATGATGACTGAAGCCTACTCGAGTCCTCAACTGACGATGAGATACTTCGGTGAAGGCGATCGGGAGGGTGCTCAGATGCCCTTCAATTTTGTTCTCATATCTGACGTCAACGGAAAATCTAGTGCACATGAAATCAAGTACGCTCTTGACAAATTTATGACCTTCAAACCTGTTGACAAATTAGCGAACTGGGTGGTAAGTTAAGCTTCAATTTAGGTTACGTAAAATATGTAACTTGAATTTTGATTAAATTTTGTTTACTTGCAGGCTGGCAACCATGATAACAATAGAGTAGCATCTCGATTCAGCCCTGAATTAGTGGATGGAATCAACATGATTGTTTTACTTCTTCCTGGTGTAGCTGTTACATACATGGTAAATTTTATACCGCTTGTTATTAATTAATAGTTCATGACACCTACTAGTCATCAGAGCAATGGAAGGATAAATAATTTTGTTAAATTGCTCAACAATTATAAGCAGGAAAAAATGCAATACTTTAACTGACATCGCCATTATTACGATAAATTAAAAGTCACAGGATATGAAGAGGTAAATGAAGTTTTTGCAATATTTGCCCAAGTGCCCACATTAATATAGTTGTAAGCAATATTTAACCAATACTGAGTTTATTATTGCTTAGTTATTTGGTTTAAATTATTAAGTAATAATCAAATTGACAGGGTGAGGAGATTGGCATGGTAGATGGATTCATCAGCTGGGAGGACACAGTGGACCCGAGCGGTTGCAACACTGATGACCCTATCAACTATGTGTACTCGTCCAGAGACCCCGAGAGAACGCCCTTCCAATGGAATGCAGACAAAAATGCTGGTGAGCTCTTCAAACAAGCAGTGTCTCAGCTAAGCAAAATAGATCTAGTGGGCAAATTTCAAAAATGTTCTTTTTTAGGTTTCTCGGACGCAAACAAAACATGGTTGCCTGTCGCTGATGGCTATGAGACGTTGAACGTAGAAGTACAGAGGAATACTGATCAATCACATCTCAACGTGTACAAAGCTCTTGTGCAGTTAAGAGGGCAGCAAGCCTTTAGACACGGACGATATGAATCGTTGGCGTTAAACTCAGATGTCTTCGCTTTTAAGAGGTGGGGTTTGATTTTGGAAATGATAAATCGTCATAAAATTTAAATACCTGCGTACAATGCACAGAGAAAATATTTTATAGAATTCTGACGCAGGACCGTCCGGACCAGAAAGCTGGTCCGCTACGGTTGCACCAACCAACCGACAAAAAAATACAAAAACGGCTCCTTAAAATAAATAAATTTCATCGCCATCATCTTGATGCGTGGCTATCCACAACCATGCGTTTTTGTCGATTTTTTTTACCACGTACGACAAAACTGTGGAATATATTGTCGCCAGCAGTGTTTCCAGACCAATACGACCCAAAAACCTTCAAAAAAAAGAGCGTACTCCTTCCTTAAAGGCCGGCATCGCATTTGTGATACTCCTGGTGTTGCAAGTGTCCATGAGCGACGGTGATCACTTACCATCAGGTGAACCGTCTGCTCGTATGCTATTATTTTTTCAGCGTTTGATTACTCGATTTTAAAAATGGCTAATTATGTAACTTTGAATCTGGTATGATGGTAAGGGACTCTTTTATGTGAAACTGACTGGCACTAGGCAAATTTTTAAATACCAATAAAAAAACCGAGAGGTTATGGAGAGGACATGGATAAAGTGCAAACGTATGATTGCAAAATAAACAACACTAAAACACCGCAAATTATATCTTATCTCGTCGCTGTTGTAATATTCCGCGTGTGAACTTGTTAAATACGAGTACAAATGTCTCAAGCAATCCGCGGGGCTTAATCATATCGCGAACACTTAACTACTTACGCAACCAGTGAAGTTGGATAATATTATATTTAATCCAAAGTTCAACCTAAGCAACATAAATAATAAGCCTCTGGTCCGAAGTTTCAAACAGTTCTGGACTACATGAAATTAATATAGAAATCTGAAGATAAGACAAACGAAAGGAAAAATGCTATTATAAAAGGGACGAAGTAATCGTGACTACTGTTATTGTTAATGAAAGGAAGCCGTCCCAGAAGACCTCATTCAAACATTGATTCAAAGGACAAACAGTCATTTCAATTAAAACGGCCAGACCTTGTTTTTTAATATTTCATTTGAAACATCTTTATGATGACTGCACGGAAGAAACAAAAGATAATGTACGGCCTGTAAATTAAAATACGAAAGACATATTGTACTGGGTCATTAAAATGGACATTTCCTTATATTTTAATTTGAAAGCACTCTAAGAACCAGCTTAATTTGAATCAAGATAATTTTGGAGTAAAATATTATAAAAGTCAGCGTCAACACTTTTAAAGTTGTTTTCCGGTAATTATATTTTTCGATCTTCATTATAATTTATTCCACTCAAACTTACAAACGCTTATTAATAAACAGCGAATAAGCCAAAACTAGTTACGTCATATTTTGTTGTCATTCAATAAACAGAGAAAAAGACATGGAGAATCCAAGCGTAGTCTTCGTTTATTAATAAAGGAGACATTGTTTAATAAATACACGACCCGACCAAAATCACTCAACTGTTGTACTTTCTTCATTATCTTATTTGTTTATGAGATTTTGTCCGATGACATGGCTGCTCACTCGGAACATACTGAAAAATAGATAGATAGATAAATCATTTATTTCCATCAGTACAGCATACAACAATTCTGAGGAATTGTTCGGATTAATTCCAGCTGCTGCATTTCGCATCGTACATCGCGGCAAAAATTTCATCCCCATCATCTTGCTATCCACAACCGTGCGTTTTTGTCGAATTTTTTTACCAAGTACGAGAAAACCGTGGAATATGTTGTCGCCAGCAGTGTTTCCGGACCGATACGACCCAAACACCTTCAAAAAAAGAGCGTACTCCTTCCTTAAAGGCCGGCATCGCATTTGTGATACTCCTGGTGTTGCAAGTGTCCATGGACGACTGTGATCACTTACCATCAGGTGAGCCGTCTGCTCGTATGCCCCCTATAACATAAATAAAAATAAAAAAAAATACAAATACATGTTAACAAATAGAATAATTAATTACTAGGTGTGTTACTGTGTGCCGCAACGACAAAAAAAGGCAAAAACTCAGCGATACCTTTGCTCTGAGGGCAAAGCACTGGTTTTCAGTTCTGCCTAGAAAGCGCGTAACGCGAAACGACACCAACGTGACGTGATTAATTTATTATTAAGAAAATTTAAATTAGATAATATTATTATTAAATTAAAAAGATTATTAAATTATTATTGTTAAATTATTATAATATAACTATATATATTATTATCATTCACCGAAAATTATTAATTATTACTGTTATTATTACTTTTTTAGTATTTAGATTAATCTTGAATTTTTGAATTAATATTTACCCATCAGCATTTAACACACACAAATTGTGACACACCTATTGGAAAGCGGCAGAAACCGCTACCATACGACCACATGTGGTTATTCCTAACCTTTGCATTTCTAGTAATATTAATTTTAAATGTTTTTCAAATGTTTGGCGAGATACTAGAAATACTCAACCACTTATAATGTTGGTTTCATTTAAAGAGACAAAGTCTCCTTGCATAGTGGAATGTCCATAGAACTAATAACGTGTTCACGAAACTTAACGAGTAAGCAACAAGTTGAAAATATTGGTACTTAAAAATATTGGTACTTGAAAATATTGGTACTTGAAAATATTGGTACTTGAAAATATTGGTACTTGAAAATATTGGTACTTGCAGGTGGTACAACAGTGAGAACTACGTAGTGGTGGTGAACTTCAGGAGCCAAGAGTACACCGTCGACCTGACCTACTTCGACAATGTCATCGGGGATTTAGAAGTGGTCATCAGCAGTATCCAGTCACCCAAGACCGAGGGGTGAGACTCTATCATCTCTTATCTATTAGACAAGTCCGTCCGGCCGTCTGTGGTGCTGTTTCAGCGGCCAAACCGTAAGAGATAGATAAAGAGAATATTTAAGTTATAAGTTAAGAATAGTCTGATAAAACTACAAACCGGATTTGAGTAACGTAGCACTTCCGGTTTTCGAGAAATCACGAATTTCAAACGAAACCACACAAAATCTCCGAAGTTCTCAATTAATTAAATACATTTTTTTTCAATCAGGTTTTGGTGAACATTTGGTTCACTGGTTTGCTAGTAATATATAATCTTAAGAATATTGAAAAGTATTAGTTAATTACAACTAACGATCATAAACAACTTCAACTCAATCATATATCTGATCAATTGAACCAATTTAATCACAATTTTATTGCCGATTTCTCAAATCAAATTCTGTTCGGAGTAAGAATCTATTAAACACTTTCATACTTCTTCAATAAACTCTCAATTGTCATGTTTCTTTGGCAACTTGACATTCATATATTTTTGAAGTGAAAACTTCTTTACACACACTACTACACACACACTTTTTTGTATGGTTAAAAATTGTTAAACTCGCGTCAGGTTAAACACGTTGGCTGATCGCATCATGACACACAATAAAATTGGAAAGGTTGTTGACTTTTATATTTATTGGACGAAACATAGTAATATTTTATTTTATCGTATTATAATTGTAAGTTTCTAACTAGGAAGCCCACGTGGGCAGCTTTATTGCGAAGAAAATGCATTTTTTTTACAATAGATGTCGCTAGGTGCGCTTAAATGTGATTCATTTAAGTTGATTTTTCTGAGAGATAAAGTTTTTTAATGTAATATAAATTGTCATGTTTGTGTACGATAGCGCAATAAATAAATATTGTATTCTACCACATACATGATAGTACTTTTATACTGATAATGAAAGCAACTCGTGCAAAATTATTCCCTAACCATTCCAAAATATCAAAAATGCACAACGTTAATATTCAAGTTTTCACTTCTGCCGGCACTCCCGGAGTGCAACCCGTCGTTTTTTATTTTTTAAGCATTTAACCGCTAGATGTTTAAATCTAAAGAAAATTTTACTTGAAAAAGATACAGGCCAAGCAGCAGACGGGACTCGAATTCGCACCACGCACGGGCGAATGCACTGAACATTATGCTACCGCTGCCTTGCAGCTTTAAAAAGGCTAGAGAAAATCAAATCGACACAGCGATTAGGGCCGCATTAGCCATAATGGTCAGTAGATTCGGATAGCGAAGGACGCGGGTTCGAGGATATTATAAATCTCCAGGCGGATAACGGAAGTCGCAGGTTCGGATTCTGTCCGATGCCTGGAAATTTTTCATTATAATTCTTCTATACTTTAATCCACATAGAATATCAAATCGAATCCTCGTATTATCATAGCCTCTGAATAAGTATTGGATGGTAATATTTCTATGATTGAATCGGTTTTGAATAATTTGTACTACTTTCTTTTCCAGAACAATCGTTCAGGCTGATCGCGTGGAGGTGCTTGGAAGCGAATCTTTAGTTTTGAAAGTAAAATAGGATTTTGTTGTGGTTTTATTTTATTTATTGAATTATCTCAACTTGTAAATAAATTTTTGCGACTCATTCAGTCTACATATAATGTCATCCATAAAGCGTATTCGAATAGAGATTGATTCAAAAATAAAAAATGATTTAATTTTACTATAAAACCAACATCTTCCTGTCACGTGGAAAGAACATTAAATAACCATTGTTCATAATTTATTTAAATAAAACATGTTTAATTTTGTTTTAATACGACAAAAAATAAAAGAAAAACACTTTTTTTTATTTCAAAAGTCTTTAAAATTTCTATGATCTTTTTGTAATACTCGTGTCGAATGGTTTTTTTTAAAAAATCTCCCTCTCCCTCTCTATGATATACAGGGTGTTACAAAAATACAAATAAAGCTTGAAGGGCGTTGAAGTACATCATATAAGGAGGATTTTCTAATTTTCTTAAAATATTTGCATGAAGTTTTGACTTTTTATAAAAACAGTTAATTTTAATGATTAATAAAAATATCGATCATTTTAAGACACGTCACTAGTTCGAGGATCATTAAAAATAACTGTTTTTATAAAAAGTTAAAACTTCATGCAAATATTTAAGAAAATTAGAGAATACTCCTTATATGATGTACTTCAACGCCCTTCAAGCTTTATTTGTATTTTTGTAACACCCTGTATAAGTTATTATAGCACCTAGCGTCATTTATAAAAAAAGTTAATGCTTGTTCATTTACCTTAATTTGTTTAAGTTTTCATCTTGCATAATGAATGGTTAATCTATTCATTGATATTTAAATTTTTGCTATATCTGAGAGAGTCCATTCTTGTACATTTGAAAAATAAAGCTATATAAAAATATGTTAACTGTGTAAGTGACAAGGCACTTAAGCATTATTTGTTGAGTTATTAATGAACCCGCCGAGTCTAAGTCAAGGTGACGCTACCGGAAAGCGACATATACGAAAACGCACTAGTCATATTTGGTCCTTCATTTGCGCGTATGAATTATGTATGAGTGACGCACCGTGGCGAGATTCGTGGCCCTCACCCCACAGCCCGTCTTACGCAGATGTGGATGTGTAGGGACGGACCGATTAGATATTATAAATGTATCACCGTCATATTCAATATTCTTCTGTTCTGTAGATCTTCTAAGAGCATTAACAATACAATAACGTATTGTTTTGTTATTTAGTCCGAAAGCACTTTTTTATAGAAACAAATAGAACATGATACTTAACCAAAATTTTTTGCTAATATTTTTAACAGGCATACTCGCTCGAATTTGAGCTCATTGCAATCGTAATGCATAAAATTAAGTAAAAATACAATAAAAAAAACCAAAAGAAAAAAGCGTTCAAAAAAATTTTCCAGAAATGTCAGGGGTGACACAAACCTACAAAAAATCGGAATGCACTTATAAATAACTAGCGGCCCGCCCTCGCTTCGCTTCGGTGTAGAGCTGAAGTGTAGACTACAGTTTTTGTTCTCAGGCTTGTATTATACACAATGACATTCATCTATGATTCTTCTTATACCTGCATGCAAAGTCTCAGTCCGATCGGTTTAAAATTGACAAAGTTTCATACAAACTTTCATTCCCTATTTTATCCCCTTGGGGGTAGAATTGATCAAAATCCTTTCTTAGCCTAGCCTACGTTATAACATCTACCTGAATGCCAAATTTCAGCCCAATCCATCCAGTGATTTGGGCTGTACGTTAATAGATCACTATGTCAGTCAGTCAGTCACCTTTGAGTTTTACGAGTATATATATATAAATGAAATAATAATTGTAATCCATTTCAACGGACGCTTCCAGAACCCCCGATACAAACCTAAAAAAACTGAATATACCTATAAATAAATTTAAATAACGATTGAAATCCATTTAAGCGGACGCCACCCTCGCACATTGAAAGTTTATGGAGATCCGAGGAAGAATGAAATTGAGATGAATTTTATCGGCACATTTGAGCTAAGTACTAATAATCAGAAAAGTCGATAGGACGCGTTCGGCGACGGAGGCTGCGACGCTAAACAAATTATTCCTGTGCAAACAACCGGGGTTGTTTGGCTAACGAGCTAGGGATGTCGAAAGTTGAAAAAAATATCGATATATCGATACATCGATATTTTAAAAAATATCAATATCGGCTTCGATATATCGCGAAAAATACATCGATATATCGATATATCGGACCAATTTTCTCAAAAATATCGTACAGTAGCTCACGAAATATGACACGCGGAATAATAATGGAACGAAAATTATCTCCCTAAAAAAAGACCCTATTTTCGAATGATGACATAGACAATACTAAATACAGCACAGATCATAGGTATGTTGAATATCATTAATCTGAGATCCAGTTACAATTTTTCCAGATACGAATTTAGTTAGATCGTGATATGCCGCTAATAATTAAAAAAATATCGTTTTTGATACGAATTTCGATATTGGTTATTTTGTATCGATGTATAGATATATCGACACAAAATATATCGGCAAAAAATATCGATATATCGAACAAAAAATATCGATATATCGATACATCGATATATTTTCAACAAGCCTATAACGAGCTTGGTTTAATAATTAAACGTCCTGAAACACAGTTGATACTTCTCATGGCTGGTGCGATGAGGTCGTGTTCGAGTGTCGATGTGGTTTTAGGTTTGTGAATACACGTTTGTGTTAATAGCATAGGTACTGAATTATTAATGAGAAGCAAACTTGAGAAGATGCTTCGACAACCACGAGAGTACTTGAGCTACTTAACCCGGCGTCAGCACAGTCAAAATATGCAACAACGACAGTAGGGTTGGGTCGAGAGGACCCGTATAAGAAAACGCCATAATCACAAAAGTTAAAATAAATTTGGTTTGTACTTGTACCATCTGTATAATACGATTATCGTTATAGGTTTTGAGTAGAAAAAAACACAACATGATACGAAACTATCTTTTTTATGTAATTTTCATAAAAGTGTCACAAAATATTAACAAAATGGACTACCTCTGTCTTAAAGTAATAAAATTATAACAAAACAAACTTTTTTCTGTAACATAAACTAATTTGTTACATGTTAATCAAATCTTTTGTAGACTAATAATATTATACTACTTGTATCAGTCTCATACGTTAGTTATAGTATCCTTATCATCTGCGCAATCTCGGCAGTACAACATTGCATGCTCACTACAGATGTATTTGCATATACAGCTCCGAAAAGTATTATTAGTTTTTCTATCTTTTTTGGCAGAACAGTCTTGGCATCTCTTTTTTACATAAAGTATCTTCACAGGTGGCTCCTCATTAGGTACATACTCCTAAAACTCTCTTATTGTTTGCGCATAAGTCTTGGCAACTGAATGACATCTTTACGATTGCGCAAATGCTCACGAACCTGTACAAGACTTAAGTTTCTTTAGAAATTGGCGTTGCTTTGACCTAGTGTTGTTCTTCTTGTTATGTAATATGTACGCATTTATTCCAGACATATTTAGCATGCCAAAAATAACAAAATAAACAATATAAAACAACAAAAAACTATTTTTTTAAACGGCGCAAAATTACGACACGAGTAGTATAGTTGGGTCATATTTGCCTTTTTCGTGTTTGGCCGTGTCTATCACTCGCTGGAGCCGCAACACGACTGAATGGCGATATCCCACGTGGAGGGGGGATCATTATCCCCAGCTACTGAGAAGTTTGGCAAAGTCGCACAAACATTTTAAGAAACACGCTCATTTGAAAACTGCTCGGGTCAAATAGACGCAACTGTGCGAACGCCGGGTTAAAGTAGTTTAACATTATGAATGTCAAATGTAAGCTCATTTACTCAGTCTAGGCTGTTACAAGCTCTTGTGAAAGTCAAACGCTACGCCATCGGTTCGTAAATCTACGGCGGGAGACCTTGTACCGAGAAGAACCGGCAAGAAACTCAGCTAGGGCTATTTTTTTCTCCCTGTTTTGTTACATACAGTGTCGTCAATTGAAAGATGACATCAAAAACTAAATACATGTGTCGATGTCATATTTCATCACATTAATATTATTAATTAACAATAAGTTAAGTATAACTAACAATTTTCAACCAAATTAGCAAAGTAAAATGACTTAGTCTATTATATTAAGCCCAAGGTGCCTTATCATTATAAAATCTTTAACTGTATAGTAACCTTTCTTAAGGAGACAAGTTTTTATACGCACTTTAAACTTATTTTGTGTATTTAACATTATTATTATTTTATGAGCAAAATGAGGAGCTCGATGGTGCAGGTGGTTAGCGCTTTCGGATGCGATCGTTGAAGTTAAGCAACTTTCGCAGTGGTCGGTGATTGGATGGGTGACCAAAAATCTTCTATCTCGAGTTCATCCGTGCTTCAGAAGGCACGTTAAGCCGTTGGTCCGCCGATACGTACTGGGCCCGTCATGGTACAAACTCCCTATTCCATTCATAGGGAAGGCCTGTGTCCCAGCATTGGGGACATTAATAGGCTGATGATGATGATTTTTTTTTTCCAACACACACCAATTAACCTAGCCCCAAGCTAAACACTATAAGGCTTGTGTTATGGGATACTAGGGTAACGGATAGAATACATATACTGTACATATATAAGTATATTTATATAGAAATGCATATTAAACATCCATAACTGGAGTACAAATGCTCGTATTCATCACACAAACATCTACCCCCACCGGGATTCGAACCCGGGACCTCTCGAGTCGGCGACACCATGAAACCCGGCGTGCAAACCACTCGGCCAAGGAGGTCATCGATTTTACGTTAAAAGGGTGGCAAAAATGGCACGCCTGATGTTAAGCGACTATAGACGCTTGTGATACAGAAAAAAATCACTTATTCCCGTTGTCTCTCCTGACCCAAACCTCTATCCCACGGAGTCCTGGAACCTTAATCACCGACAGAAATACGTATTCTGTTAGGTGAAGGATATTTCCCAGACGGGAGCTCCAATTAACCCGCTATGCCGTA